CGTGTCTCCTCCGGCTGCTGAGTCTGGCCAGGTAGCCGCGTCGGGTCGGGTGTAAGCTGCAGCGTCCCGGTCTGGTCCTGAGTCTGCCCCCTGCTCGTGTCGCCTCCTGTCTCACCAGACTCTCCTCTGGCACCACCGCCTTGGTCACCCCTCCGTGCCTCGTCTCCAAGGCATGGCCTCTCGTGTCCTTGTCACTGGTCTTCCCCGGTCTCTCCCTCCCCTCCCCCCGGGGCCTGCCCCTCCCTGCGTTCCTTGTGTCGAGGGGCGGCAGCGCGCCGCTCCTCACTCCTCCGAGTTCCCTCCGACGGAGGCTCCCTTGCAGACTCTTCGCATGGACGTGTGGGGCCCAGCTTGCGTCCGTGGATAGGGTCACGAGCGCTACTTTCTGCTCGTCGTTGACGACTACTCGCGTTACACCACAGTCTTCCCCTTGCGCCGCAAGGGTGAGGTCACTGAGGTGCTGATCGACTGGATCCGCGCAGCCCGTCGCCAGCTCAGCGAGAGTTTCAGCTTGGACCATCCTGTACTGCGTCTGCACTCCGATAGAGGTGGAGAGTTTTCCTCCGACCTTCTGCGCCTTCTGTCATGCGGAGGGCATCCGCCAGACGTTCACGCTTCCGGCCTCTCCACAGCAAAATGGGATTGCTGAGGGCCGCATTGGCATGGTCATGGACGTCGCTCGTACGTCCATGATCCATGCGGCTGCTCCCCATTTTCTGTGGCCGTTCGCGGTTCAGTACGCGGCGCATCAGATCAACCTCCAGCCTCGGGTCTCCATGCCGGAGACCACACCTACTCTGCGGTGGACGGGGAAGGTTGGCGATGCGTCTGCGTTCCGTGTCTGGGGATCTCGAGCTTTCGTCCGCCACTTGTCTGCGGACAAGCTGTCCTCCCGTGCTGTTCCCTGCGTCTTCCTTGGCTTCCCCCCTGACGCGCCTGGTTGGCAGTTTTACCACAACACCTCGCGCCGTGTTCTGTCCTCTCAGGACGTCACGCTTGACGAGTTGGTTCCTTACTACCGTCTCTTCCCCTACCGCACTGCCCCCCTCCCCCCCCCGCCGCTCTTCCTTGCGCCAGGTCCCCCCCCGGTAGACCCCTTCCCCCCTCAGGGTCCTGCCCCCTTAGGTGTGTCCCAGGTAGACGCAGTCGAGCCTGTCGAGGTAGCTGTTGACTCTGATGCTGCTAGGGGTGATGAGCCTGAGGGTGCCGGGTCTGGGGGTGCTGAGCTTGAGCATGCGGAGCCTGGGGATGTTGAGTCTGGGGGTGCTGAGCCTGGGGGTGCGGAGCCTGCGGGTGCTGAGCCTGGGGTTGCTGAGTCTGGGGGTGCTGAGACTGGGGGTGCTGAGCCTGGGGTTGCTGAGTCTGGGGGGTACGGAGCTTGAGGGTGCTGAGCCTGTGCGTGTGGAGTCTGGAGGTGCTGAGCCTGGCGGTCCTTCGGGTGCTTCGTCCCGTCGGGAGCCACTCTCTCCACAGCAGCTGCACGAGTGGTTTGCTCGGCGCTGGAGTCGTGCTGCTGGAGCTGGTGGTGCTACGGGCGCTGGAGTTCCTGGTGCTGCTGGAGGTCTTGCTACTGCTGGAGCTGCTGGGGGTTCTGGATCCACGGGTCCCGGAGGTGCTCGTACTGGAGGTATTGGAGCTGCTGGGCCTGGTTGTGCTGCTGGAGCTGGAGCTGCTGGAGGTGCTGGAGCTGGCGGTGCTGCTAGAGCAGGTGCTGCTGCAGGTACTGGAGCTGGAGCTGCTGGAGCTGCTGGGTCTTCAGGTGGTCCGGCTGGAGCTGGAGCTGCTGGAGGTGCTGGAGCTGGAGCTGCTGGAGGTGCTGGAGCTGGAGGTGCTGCTGGAGCTGGTGCTCCTGTGGGTGCTGGAGTTGGCGCTACTGGAGCAGCTGGAGGTGCTGCTGGAGCTGGTGGTGCTGCTGGAGTTGGAGCTCCCGCTGGGGGTGCTGGTGCTGTTCCTGCTGGTTCTGGAGGCGCTGCGCGGCCGCGGCCGTACTACGTTCCGCCCCTTCAGCAGGTTCTTGGTCTTCCGCCTTGTTCTGGTCCTGCTCCTTCCTTAGAGTGTCCACCGCCTCTCCAGTCGCAGTCACAGTTGCAGCCCGCCTCCCCATTGCCTGCTCCTTCTCCTTACATTGGTCCGACTGGAGGTCTTGTCGAGCGTCATGAGCCTGCGTCTCGTCCTGCCTCGCCTGTTCGTGCTGCTAGCACTAGTAGTCGTGGTTTGCGCCAGCGTCCTCCTCCTGTCCCTGGCACGCACCGGATGGCTCTGCGCCCTTCCACTGCTCTGCAGCGTGTCCCTCTGCTGTCTCCTCCTGCGTCCTCTCTTCCTGCCCTTGCTGACCCGGAGTCTGACTCCCTTCGTGCTGCTAGTCCTACTGTCACGTAACTCCGGGCCACTACTGTCACTAACCCTTCCTTTGAGTCCACTGCTGCGTCTGCCTCAGTTGCTGAGCTTGTGGACTTTGCTACTCACTGTCGTCTAGACTACGCCACGAGTCTTGTTGCTGAGTCTGAGTCTGTCTGTCCTCCGTCCGTCGGGGGTGAGTATGCTCTTGGCACGGATGTCCTTGAGGACAGGCAGGAGGACTTTAGTGCTTTGCAGCAGCTGTACCTCATCTTGTGTCCATGCTGATTGCCGCTGAGGGAGACCCGGATGCACCAGACATCCCGACCGCGCGCTCCTACGAAGAGGCGATAGAGGGTCCCTCTTCCTCTCAGTGGCAGTCAGCCATGGACACAGAGATGGCATCCTGGAAATCCACAGGCACTTACGTCGACGAGGTTCCCCCTCCTGGGGCGTACATCGTTAGTGGCATGTGGATTTTCAGTGTGAAGCGGCCGCCGGGTTCTCTGCCTGTCTTCAAGGCGCGTTACGTTGCTCGAGGCTTCAGTCAGCGACAGCGAGTTGACTTCTTCCAGACGTTCTTCTTGACCCCGAAGATGACCACTCTTCGGGTTCTGCTGCACGTCGCTGCTCAGCGTGACTACGAGCTTCACTCTCTTGAGATCAGCACTGCTTTCCTACAGGGCAGCCTACACGAGGAGATCTGGCTGCGCCGCCCACCTGGCTTCACTAGGTCTGGTACCTAGTGGAGCCTGGTACCTAGTGGAGCCTCCGGCGGCCAGTCTACAGTCTCCGCCAGGCGCCCCGTGAGTGGCACGACACTCTGAGGACTACGCTTGCGGCTCTTGGGTTTGCTCCTTCCACTGCTGACCCGTTGCTGTTTCTCCGCACCGACACTTAGCTGCCGCCGTTCTACATCCTCGTGTACGTTGACGACTTGGTTTTTGATACTGCTGACACTGCTGGACTGGCCCACGTGAAGTCGGAGCTACAGAAGAGACACACGTGCACAAACCTGGGTGAATTGCGCAGCTATCTTGGCTTGCAGATCACCCGGGACAGAGCACGGCGCACCATTACCTTGACTCAGTTACACATGGTGCAGCAGGTCCTTCAGCGCTTTGACTTCACGTACTCCTTGCCTCAGGCCACTCCTCTGTGAACTCGCCACTCGCTCTTAGCTCTGCCTTCGGATGAGTCCGTAGAGTCGAGTGGCCCGTACCCAGAGCTTGTTGGCTGCCTCATGTACCTGATGACCTGCACTCGACCTGACTTGGCATACCCTCTTAGCATCTTGGCACGCTATGTTGCTCCTGGGAGACACCGACCAGAGCATATGGCTGCAGCTAAGAGGGTGTTGCGCTACCTGTGCAGTACGTCGGGCATGGGGCTAGTGCTTGGAGGACGGGCTCGAGTTGTCCTCACTGGTCACGCAGATGCTTCTTGGGTTGACGACTTGGCTACGCAGCGGTCGTCACAGGGTTACACCTTCAGCCTTGGTTCCGGCTCTGTTTCGTGGCGGTCTTCCCGCTCGTCTTCTGTTCTCAGCTCCAGTTGTGAGGTTGAGATCTACGTTGGGGCCATGGCTGCGCAGGAGTTACGCTGGCTCACTTACCTGCTGTCCGACTTGGGAGAGGCGCCTCGTTCTCCTCTAGTTCTGTACGTCGATAACAAGGCCATGCTGGCCTTGTGTCAGGAGCACAGGCTGGAGCACAGAACGAAGCACATTGCTCTGCGCTACTTCCTTGCTCGAGAGTTGCAGCAGCGTGGTCAGCTTCGTTTTGCTTACGTGGCCTCTTGGGTTAACACTGCTGATATTTTTACCAAGGCACTTCAGCCTTGTGATCATCAGCGTTTCTGTACTATGCTAGGTCTTGTGCCTACCAGGCCTCACTTGCTTACCTCTTGACTTTGCTTGTACTGTGATCTATATATACCTGCACTTGCATGCTTACCCTTGCTAGGTTGAGATCACTATCTTGCTTGTTCACCTTGATTTATAATTCTGCATGTGAACTGGCCTTGTGGCCTTGAACTTGTGCTCAGAATGTGTGGTGACGTTGTGATCCACCCTGAGCTTGACCTTGCCTTGTTCTCTTGCTTGTCCCCCACTTTGCCTATGGGGGTGTGTCAGAACCATATTGTAGGCTGTAGTAGGGTAGACAATATGGGGTACAGCTCTTTTAGGTTTTCATACTTGTACCCACCTGCTTCCTAGTTCATTCATTCCTCGTTCTTATTCTGACAGTCCCACGAGGTGAGTTGTGTAGGATGCTTGAACACCACGCAAGATTCGGTCAAGCACCTCGATTGACTTCCACTCCCACGTGCGCAGGTGTGGTGATCCGCACGCAGGAACGGGGGTGGATGGACGAATGCCTCGTCCAGGACAGGACTGCCCAAGTCCTGGTCCCCTTCATGAAGCCATGGTGTGACGAGGGCATCAGGCGCAGAGATGTCCTCCTCGTTCTAGACTCGTACAGAGGACACCTCACCGAGCGTGTCGGCCAGACGATGCGACTCTTCAGGTTGACCCGTGTCGTGATCCCGTGCAACCGCTAGACGTGTCTGTCAACCGCGCCTTCAAGGCGGACGTCCGCCACCGGTAAGGCTCGTGGTTCGAGGAGGAAGGGATTACCTACACAACCCCCGCAGGTGAGCCCATGTACCCGTGTAGCTCGATCGCGCTTGTCACTCTGACGGTTCTCTGAATTCCACATCCATACACCCACCACTCCAAATCCCTCCACTCCACTCCTCCCTTCGCAGGCAACTTGAAGAAGCCGCCGGCCGAACTCAACCTGAAGTGGATTGACGAGTCCTGGGCTGATGTGCCCAAGGAGATGGTGAGGAAGGAGTTCCTCACATGTGGCATCTCCAACGCCGAGTTGGAGATGATGGAGGACGCGACGGAGGATGAACTGGTTCCCAACCCGTTCTACCCGGCCCCCGCGGTCATTCCCCCGTATGCGACCGTCGAGGCAGAGGAGGAGGCCGTGTTGGCAGCAGAAGCAGCCAAAGCTGATGAGGAGGCTTTACCTCCTAACTCAGACTCTAGCGAGTCTGGCGATGGTCTCGCGGGCAACCGAGACGAGTGGAGCGACGAAGGGGACGAGTGGTGGGCCCCTGGTCGTTATGAGGGGGAAGAGGTGGACGAGTGGGTGGCAGGTGACGACGAGGACTAGCTAGTCAGTGTGTACAGGCTCGACCCCGGCTGACGGGTAAACGTGGCCAAGTGTTGGCCCGTCCGAGCACACGTGCAGTGGGTCACTCGCTGACTCGCAGGAGTGAACTGGTCAACACCCCATCCTGTAGGTCAGCACCACTCACCAAGTTCGTAGAGAACGAGGGGAGGTAAAGACCTGACAGGGTGCCAGAAGGGGCCGTCGGACACGGTAAGACAGTGGAGAAGTGGGCAAGGACAGGACCCCCAGAGGGGTCTGCCAGCGAGACTGCAACCGGCCGACTAAGCGGCGTGAGTGTGGTGCGGTCTCGAAAAAAGGAGCGGGAAGCACCCGAGTCAAGGGTGAAAGTGTGCAAAGCCTGAGCCGACGTGGTACCTGAGAGAGCAGACTCACCAGCACGTGGGGCAGCAGAGTCACCAGCACCTGGAGCAGCGGACGCACTAGCACCTAGAGCAGCAGCCTCACCAGCACCTAGAGCAGCAGCCTCAATGCCCGGGTCAGGCGGAACACACAGGTAACAGTCACCCTCATCACTAGTAGACACAACATACATGGCAGCAAGAATAGCATCATAATAGAGATCAAAGATAGCAACTCCCGACCTAAGCAGCTCGCCCTAGCGAGGGATCTCAGTGGCGTCAGGGAACTGGAGACGCTAGGCGTCCGTCAGGCGGCCGAAGCAGCGCTGGGTGGTGTGCGGGCCACCTCACGGCTCACCAGTGCGGTCGCCGGTACGCAGGACGTAGGCACAGGGACCAGCACCCCCACCCCGCTGACGCGCAGCGTACCACTCACGAAGCAGCTGGGGGGGCGGGGTCTCACGAGTGTGCTGCTGCTGCTGGCGCTGACCACCACCGAAGCCGCCCCGCTGCACAGAGCCACCCCGACCAGCTCCACCGCCGCTGCCGCCACCGCCGCCACCGCCGCCTCCTCCGCTCCCACCGCCACTGCCGCCGCCGCCTCCGCCTCCACCGCCGCCACCGAAGCCCCCACCCCCGCCACCACTCCCACCGCCACCCCCACCCCCTCCGCCGCCTCCACCGCCACCTCCACCGCCACCTCCACCACCCCCGCCAGCTCCTCCAGTGCCCTTGCCCCCCTTGCCCTTGCCGTTGCGGCATCTCCCGCTAGGGGCAGACGCAGCGCCGACCGACTCGGTGCCAACGAGGTCGACAGCAGCAGAAGAGGCAACAGAGGGCAAAAGGGGGGAGGGGGAGCACCCCTCAAAGAAGGGGGCACGAGGGTCACCACGAGAGGCTCCTACAGCGACTATACTCTTCTCAGCTGCAAGGAGGCGCTCCTCGAGGAGGTCAACGGTGAGTGTGGTGGGGCAAACAGAGAGGAAGTGGTCCCTGACCGAGCGAAGGGAGTCAGGGAGCCGGGTGACTAGGTAGTAGAGGGTGATGTACATGGGGGGGGGGTTCTTGGCGCAGAACTCAGCAGAAAGCGCAGCGCGGTAGCGGGCGTTAGTAGTGCGGAGGTGTGTAATGAGGTCAGCGACTGTGGGAAAAGCGGCGAGGTCAGGGAACAGGTACGGCAGCATGAGGCGACTAAGGGCAGCAGTGGCAGGGGAAGAGTAGCGTGCAACTACAGCGTCGTACAAGGTCTTAGCACTCTTGTACTGACTAAAGTGCGCGCGCTCAGTAGACGGCAGGTGACTACGCACAGCAAGACGGGCAGCAGCATCGCGTGTGGCCCACTGTGAGCGAACAGTACTGTCAGCATCGGCAGCAGGGGCAGCAGAGGCGCCAGACGTGAGATCGAACAGTGAGAGACCATCTTTTCTATCGCACTGCAGGAAAAGCTGCAGATCATCGACCCAGACCTCAAAGTCGACAGCCCGACCCTCAGCATCAAAGGTGAGCACATTGGGGGTAGCCATGACAGCAGCAGCAGCAGGCTAGCAGCAGCAGCAGCAGCAGCAGGAGGGGCGCGGCTCGGCGGTGCGCTTACCAGGGGCGGGTGGGTAGAAGTCCGCAAGTGGTGGGGCAGGGCCGAGGTGCGCCGGCAGGAATAGGGCCGCGACACGGCGGCAGAGGAGGGCCGCGCCTCGGCTGCAGGGTAGGGCCGGGACGGCGGCGGCGGCTGTCACAGCAGTGGCATCGGCGGTTGTCTCAGCAGCAGCGGCGGCGGCTGTCACGGGAGCAGCGGCGGCGGCGACCGGCCGTGGCGGAAGCAGCAGCGGCAGTAGGCGCGACGGCAGCTGCTGCTGGGGCGGCGACGACGGGGCGCCAGGGCCGTGAAGAGCCGGGGAGAGGCCGCGAAGGGGTCGCGAAGAGCCGCGAAGGGGCCGCGGAGGGGCCGCGAAGGGGCCGCGAAGGGCTGCGGAGGGGCCGCGAAGGGGCCGCGAAGGGCGGCGAAGGGGCCGAGAAGGTGCTGCGAGGGGCCGCGAGGGGCCGCGAGGGGCCGCGAAGGGCCGTGAAGGGGCCGCGAAGGGGCCGCGAAGGGCCGTGAGAGGGGCCACGAAGGGCCGCGAAGGGGCCGCGAAGGGGCCGCGAAGGGCCGTGAGAGGGGCCGTGAAGGGGCCTTAAGGGGCGCGACGGGCCGCTAAGGGCAGGGGACGCGACGGAAGGGCAAGCGCACGGGGCGCGACTAGGGCAGGCGCGAAGCGCGCTCCGGGCAGGTAAGGAAAAAAAAAAAAATGTAATAGTGGTGGGCCCTAGAAAACGTTCCCACTAGGGAACCTGCTCTATACCATGTGAGAATAACGAGGAATGAAATGACTAGGCAAAATGTGGGTACAAGTAGGAAACCTAGAAATGTTGTACCCTTTTCCCACTACAGCCTAGATAGACCATAGCATATAAGTTTGACACTTATAAGTGTAATGCATCCTTCAAAAAAAGAATACGAATTTATTACTGTAGAGGCTGCTCCTAGCGAGCACAACCCCGAGCACTTCGCGTCAGTTTCGAGGTTCGGCCTACATTTCGGCCCGAACCACTGCCGAGTCGCTCCGCACCGATCGCGACACCTCCAACCCATCCACATCCCGAGGTCCGCGCCTAACACATTTTCGCCTTATGAATGCCTCTCTTGTTCATTCAATCGTCATTCAGTAATTCTTTAGTTTCATCCTTGTTTCATCAAAAGGTTTTCCGCGCACTCTTCTTAGTACAACTCATAACATTGAAATCGTTGCCGTACACGTTATAGTGCCCCATGTATGTTACCATTGATATTTCGGCCATTTTCATGTGCATGCAACTTAGTCTACCAACTGTATTCAAGCGCATGCCATGTCATTCGACAGGTGTGTACACTCTACGCAGCTTAGAAATGTTTATCTTAAAATCACACGCTTCCCAATATTTGTTTCGAATTGGCACAAACAGTCAGGAATAGATGCGATTTCGGATTACGCAAAGCGAAATCGGAGTAGTTGGCTCTCGTTACTACATTTTCCGACGTCACTAGAAGCAATCATTGCATGTTTGCTCAATTTCAACGCGAATTTCTGCTTTGCCCCATCTCTTCTTGAACAGGTTCAAATGTTAGATCAGCTGTACTGCGCGAGTGACGATCGTTGCGCGTGCCAAATCAACATTATTTTCTTGGGCACGCAGAAATTTGGAAAGGGCAATCCCAAACATGAGAAGTCTGCCCGACCGTTTGTAAACTTTGCCCTACAAAAAATAATGTTCATATGGCACATATATATTATAATTGTTGGATTAGCTTCTTTACTTACCATTAATATTACTTATAGCGGATGTATTATGTAGCGATAGAGGAAAATCTATTAGAATACGGTCATATTTTTCACGTTTCGGATTATTATTCTTTCCTAATCTCTGCACGTCCAAGATTTTTTTATTTTTATTTACAACTGATCTAGCATTTAATTTCATTTAAGAAGAGTTAGGGCGAATCAGAAACTCGCATCAAAATTTGGCAAACATGCAATGATTGCTTTGGTGACGTCAGAAAATGCAGAATCGAGAGCCAACCATTTCGATTTCACTTTGCTTAATCCGAAATTACCCATATTCTCGACTGTTTGTGCTAATTCGAAACGAATCCTGGGAAGTGCGTGATTGTAAGATAACACGTTTGTAAGCTGCGTAGAGTGTACACGCCTGCCGAATAACATGGCATGCACTTGATTACAGTTTCTAGACTAAGTTGCATGCACCTGAAAATGGCCGTTGATATTTTCCCATTTTCGTGGGTCTCCCATCGTTTGTGCAGTCCCTCCTCCACCTCATTCATCCAGCCAATCAAATCAGTCTGACACTGACATAGGGAGTGACCGACCACCTTCTTCCAATGTCTCTCCCGCTTCAAATTTCAGCACAGCACAGCAGTGGCTTGATTCTTCGTTCATTTTCCTTTCTTTGCTGTCTCATGCGAAAAGATGGGTCGGATCTAGGTTCCACCTCCATTACATGTCGCTCTGGGCTTTTATCCGACCCGTACTTTCCGCCGCGCGTGCCGACTGAGCGCGGCAGGCTGATTAATCACGGCCGGCACGATGGCCGGTAGGAAAGTTTCCGCCTTGTTTCGCGCCCGACCCGCAGGGCCATTTCTCCCCCTACCCGCACTGCTTCTGCTCGGCGCAGCGGCGGCGGCTGCAGAGTGGTATCTCGGTGGACGGGTGCCGCTGACGTGGATCGTGGCGTTTTTGGCAATGACGATGATGTGGCATCACGTGAGTGGCGGAGAGCATAGCAGATGGTTAGCCTTGGCTTCTGTTCGCCTGGTCGCATTCCCAGAAGAACGCCTAGCTTGCCTATTTAAGTACTTCGAGCATGTCGTATCATTCACAACGAGACCTACGCTTCCGCAATGCACGCTGAAGACCCATGAGACCTGCGTCTGCGCAGCATGCGTGTGCGTTTCTGCCTCTGCAGCAAGAACTTCTGCCGACAACTGCGCTGTCCGCAACTGTTTCCCAGCCGCTGCCTGTCAGCCGTTAGTCTGCCTAACGGCTACCGCCTGGTTGAGAGTCACCTTTGCTGCTCGCCAGACGCACATGCCGGACGCCGCCTGCAAATGGCATGTCGCGCAAGGTTCGGCATTGTAGAACGCATTTGCGCGCCGCGTCCTTTCAAGAATGCATCACTTGTAGAACGCATTTGCACGGAGCACCCATGCGAGCATGTAGGTTCGGACCTGCTGTAGCGTGGATATGACTCAGAAGGATCTGCCAGCTATCGCGCCAAGAGTCTGCCATTCTCGAGTCCTTCCCGTGCTGCCAGCTATCGCGCCCGACACGTGGGCCTGACGTGTAGATACCCAAAGTGCTGCCGCTGCTCACCAAGCACTACAGTCTCAGATGTGCACTCTAGAGCCTCAACCGCCCCCGGCGCGCGGCCGCCACGCGGACATTTTATGGGGGAGTGAAAAAAAAAGAGGTGAAAAACTGTGCCCTCCAGCGAAGAGCGCTCTGCAAGGCTAGCCGGTGATCCGGCTGTGGTTGTTGGTAGGGCTAACGGCGATGCAATGTATCGCTGAGCACGATTGTTCGTAGCGCCGCGCATCCGATTCGCGTGCTGTGCTGGCTCGGACTCCCAGTCTGGGCCTTCCCCTTTCGAACCTATTCTGGCGTGTAGTTGCGTGCTTGTGAACGCGCGCAGGCGTTTTCTGTTTCACCTTATACCCCTGTTTCGCCCTCCCCTTTCCTTTTCCCCTCGCGCGATTTGCGGGACGCGCGTGGTGTCTGTCCATGCGTGCGAGCATTTGTGCATTTGTGCATGAATGGATTCGTGGGTGCGTGTATGTGTGCATTGTGTGCATGTGCGCGTTTGTGCATCTGTGCGTGCGTGCGTGCGCTGTGCAGAGCGTGCGAGGGGAGCAGCAGCAGCGCAGGCTGCACGATGAGCGGCGGGCGGAGGAGGAGCGCAGGGAGATGTGGCAGCAGAAGCTTCTCAGGGACCTGGTACGCCGTACTCCATACGCCATACGCCCTGGCAGGGCCCTGCTGGATGGGGATGGGTGGGTAGATCGTAGCCGCCACAGTAGGAGCAGATAGGAGGGGTAGGTCGGAGAGGAAGCATCATCTTTCCTCTCGCCTCTACGCTTTGACCCTCTTCCCCTTTTTCCCCGGCTCCCCAACACCCCCCTTCCCCCCCACCAAGTCCCTTCCACTCTTCCCAATGCACCTTCCGTCCCCATTGCAATGGTACCCTATGCCCGCCTCTCTCCTTTCTATCTATCGCTTTTTCTCACCACGTCCCTCCCCGCGTCTCCCCTTTCCACCTCTCCCCTCCCCGCCTCTCCTTTCCCCGCCTCCCCTCCCTTCCTCTCCCCTCCCATCCTCCCCCTCCCAGCATCTCCCCTCCCCCTCTCTCCCTTCCACGCCTCTCCCCTCCCCGCCTCTCCCCTCACCCTTCTCCCTCTCCTCGCCCGCTCCTAACCCCCCTCCGCCCCCCCCCTCCCCCCCACCCCGTATGCGGGGTGGCGGCAGGCGGTGTCAGCGCGTGAGCCTGCGGACTGGCTGAACAAGCTGCTCGTGCTGCTCTGGCCCAACGTGCTGCACCCCCGCACTCTCGCCGCCACGCAGGCCGCCATGCAGGTGAGCTGCCATGCTGACATGCCATGCAGGTGAGTTGACATGCTGTCCAGCTGGCATGCTGTGAAGGTGAGATAAGAAGTGACTGCTCGCAGAACACTTGACTGTATGCTCGTTGTCCTCCCTCTGAAACACAAGCGGCCTCACCACACCCTTACACGCGTACGGTCCCCGTTGTAGTACCTATTCCGTGGCTTTCTGTCCTCACCCTCGCCTGCCCTCTCTCCTCTGCCTGGGTATGCGTTGCCCCCACCAACAGAGCATCATGGACAAGGATGTGCCGCCGCATGTGGTGAGTGGGGGGCGTGTGGTGAGTGGGGGGCGTGTGGTGAGTGGGGGGCGTGTGGTGAGTGGGGGGCGTGTGGTGAGGGCAAAACAAGCTGTAATAACTACTAGTCGACTGACGAACCGCACGATGTGGTACCTCGTGAGAGAGAGACCCTCACACATCGAGTCATTCCTAAAATCCTCTTTGGAGTGAGTGACTTTTGAGACGTCCCAAAAGACCCTCACACATCGAGTCATTCTTGAAATTCTCTTTGGAGTGAGTGAGTCGTGCTTGGCCTTGCCAATCCCCTGCTTGCTCCATTCACTCAGTGCACTCTTCCCATCTTCCTTTTCATCTCTTGCTCTATCTCTTCCGTCTCTCCTCCTCTTCTCCTCTCCCCCCACGCCCCACCCCTCCCCACCCTCCCTTCCCCCTTTCTCCCCCTTTCGCTCCCGCCATGCAGCAATCAGTGGAGATTCTAGAGATGGATTTCGGAGACGCAGCGCCGCAAGTGGGTCCCCTCGGCCTGTTCTGGTCAACGCGCCAGCCGCACAAGACCCACTCAACTGCCCGCCATGGGGGTGCCGCTGCTGCTGCTGCTGCTGGGCTCACGGCTGACGGGCAGTCCAGTGGTGGAGTAGCAGGAGGAGGGGGAGGAGGAGTAGTAGGGGGAGAAGGAGAGGGCGGGACGGAGGGCGCAAGGGAACAGCGTGAGCAGCACGAGAGTGAGCGTGGGAACGAGCACACGCAGGGGGAGGAGGGGGAGGAGGAGGAGCAAGGGCTGAATGTGGACGTGCGGTGGGGCAGCAGCGGGCTGTCTGTGGTGCTGGCAGTGCACTTCGCCTCAGACGCCCCTTTCCCCTCCTCCTCCTCGCACTCCCTCCTGCCCGCCTCCTCGTCGCTCTCCTCGTCACAGCACGGCACGCCGCACTCCCTCGCCTCCTCCTCCTCTGTGGCTCCCGCCGGGTTCAATATCCAGCTGGCTATATCTAACGTCGCTGTTGCCGGCACGGTCAGTGATTCACTCGGTTTGTCAAGCCCATGCCTGTTTGTCTGTCTGTCTGTCTGTCTGACTGACTGCCAGTCAGACAGTGGTTGCATGATTCCGAGGTTGGTACGTTCTTAAAAGCATCCACGCATGGCTCATTGATGCTGGGAAACAGCGCTTGATAATCTAACACCGGAATAACTCACACTTCCCTCTCCCTCTCCCTTTCCATCTCCCCCTCCCTCTCTCTCTCTCTCTCTCTTTCCCTCCCGTCCTTCACTAAACCCACTCCCTCTCGTCTTCTCTCCGACAAACAAACCTTTGCCCTCCCACCAACCAACCCCACCCACCACCCGTCATCGCCTCACACGGCAGGTGCGCGTGGTGCCGGTGTGCAGTGGCGGCGCGCTGCTGTGGTCGTTTGTGCGCCCGCCCGCCGTGTCCTTCTCCCTCGCCCTGCACCACCACACCAACGCCGACGCCGCGCTCTTCCTCATCGCCGGCTTCGACGACTGGCTGGTGAGAGGGGCCGCATGGGGTTGCCTGGTGAGACGGATGGGGCGTTGGTGCGAGGACGGATGGGGCGTTGGTGCGAGGACGGATGGGGGGGGGTGGTGAGCGGAGGGATGGGGGTGGATGGTGAGCGGAGGGATGGGGGTGGATGGTGAGCGGAGGGATGGGGGTGGATGGTGAGCGGAGGGATGGGGGGGGGTGGTGAGCGGAGGGGTGGGGGTGGGTGGTGAGGAGGGGTGGTGAGAGGAGGGATGAGGGTGGGTGGTGAGAGGAGGGATGAGGTTGGGTGGTGAGAGGAGGGATGAGGGTGGGTGGTGAGAGGAGGGATGAGGGTGGGTGGTGAGAGGAGGGATGAGGGTGGGTGGTTAGGGGCATGATGGGGGTGGCTGGTGAGGTGAGAGATGGGGATGGATGGTGAGGGGATGGGAGGGATGGGAGGGATGGGAGTGGGTGGTGAGGGTACCCCCAAGTGCACATCTGTTGACCTGGTTTTCCGCCCTCCCATCCTTCCTCTCACATCCTTGTTCATTGGTCACCAAGCGCCATGCTTATCGTTCCTTGCTCGCCTATCATCCATTCCCGAACTCTGGCCAGCCAAACACCCATTCCCTCTTCTTCCCCCAACAATACCCCTCCGTCCCTTCCTCCCTCCTTCCACCCACCCTGTTCTCTCCTCCTCCTCATCTTCACACACTGTTCCTTCCGCCCCCGCCCCTCTCCCCCTCCCCTCACCTTCCCATACCATTGCCCATCACGTGCAGACGCGAGTGCTCTCGTCCTACATTGCAGCCCATGCTGTTGACCCAGTCAAGAAGCTGCTACCCCTCACGCTCCCTCCTCCCTCCCTCTCCCCCGCTCCTCCCCTACTCCTCCCCGCTCCCCTCCCCTCCGTTGTGGGCGGTTACCTCTCGCTCTCCCTCCTCTCCGCCTCCAATCTCGTCCAACCATCTGATTCTCCTAGCAACGCCCCGCCTCCTCCATCTGCTGCCGCTGCTAATGCTGCAGCGGCACCAGCGCCATTGCCAGAAGCAGGGGCAGGGGCTGCAGGGGAGGAGGCAAGGGGGGCAGTGGTGGGTCCATGTGTGGTGGAGGTGCAGTGTGGGGATATACGTAGAGCTTCCTTGCCCAGCGTCACTTCAGGCCGAAACCCCATGTGGTCCTCCTCACCTACTGCAGCTGCTGCTGCTGCTGGGGATGCAGGGGAAGGAGGTGCAGCAGGAGGGGGAGCGGTGGCAGGAGCGGTGGCAGGAGGGGAGGAGGGCGCGATGCTGCTGTGGGGCAATGGGCCACGCTTCTCCCTCACTCTCACAGTCTGCGAGCTCTCCGGGAAAGTGGCTGCAGCAGCTGCTGCTGTCGCTGCCGATGGTGCAGCAGCAGTAGCAGCAACAGCAGGAGGAAGAGGCGGAGGGGATCGTGGTGGCGGGGCTGTGGGTGTGGCCTCTTGTGTGGTGCTCGGGACAGCACAGCTGCACGTGAGACAGCTTGCCTTCTCCTCTCCCCTTCAACTACCAGCCTACTTGCTCACAACCGTTCAAATGCCTGTGCCTCAATGTGCCTCTCTGTGCCTCTGAGTGCACACGTCTACCAGCGTCCACATTGCCCTCTTCTGCTGCACTGATCATTCTCTCCTTCCAACCCCTCCCTCTCCACCCTGACCCCACTTTTCCCCCTCCTGCAACCTCCCCCTGCTGCCTCGCTGCTCTGATTTCTCCTTCTCTCTCCCTCCAACCCTCTCCTGCATGCCCTCCCTCCCTCCCTCCCTCCCTCCCTCCCTCAGGTGGCGTATACGGGAGTGGACGGCAGCGCAGGGGACGCCACCCCCTATGCTGTGCTGTGGGGCATGGGTCCGCACCGCCTGCCTGTAGTGCGCCGTGTGCCGCTCTCGCCCTCCTCCCTGCGCCCTGTCACCATCTCCCTCGCCCTCGACTACCCGTCTACCTCGGGATCTGTGAGACCACTTCAGCCCTCTCGCCTACCTTACTCCTCCCCTCTTCCGCGGGCACCCACCCTCTTCCTCCCCCCTTCTTTCCTCCCTGCTCTCTCCCTCCTTCCATCCACCCTCCCGCCCTCCCTTCTGTTGACCTTCCATCTGCTCTTTAGTCTGTCTGCACTAGGCGTGCTTGATCAATTCTCCCTGTCTCCCTCTTCCCTCCCTGCTCCCTCCCTCCGTCCATTTATCCTCCCGCGCTTCCTTCTGCCGAGCTTCTCTCTGCTCCTTCGTCCCTCTGCACTTTACATGTTTGAACAATGCACACACGGGAGGTTTCTGCTTCTCCATTAACAGCCGAGCCGACTTCCTATTGCGCATTCTACAAAGAGCCGGCTTTCTGTGGTCGCATGTCTCTTTATCCGTTGTCCCCTGCCCCTCGTCATCCCCCGTTACCTCCTCACGCGTTCCATGCGTTCCTCCCCCGTTAACTTTGGATTCCAACTCATCCCTTTCCTTCCCTCTATCTCTCTCGCCCCCTCTCCCATCCCACATTTTCTCCCTCTCTCAGATCCGCATTCGCCTCTCTCCACCCTCCTGGCTGCCCACCCCTTCCCCCACTCCCTCACTCCCCTTCACTCCACCATCCCTCTTCCCTCCTCCGCACCTCGTCCCCTCCCTCCTCGCCTCCTCCTCCTCGTCGTCCTCCTCTCCGCCCGCCCTCCCACGCGCGCCCCCCTCGTTCACGGGGCGCAGCATCCGAGTGACAGTGGTGGAGGGCCGGCGCGTGTGGGAGAGCAGGGATGGGAGAGCAACGGGCGTGGGCATGGGGGGCAAGGGCGCAGGGGGAGGAGTGCCGGGGATAGTGGTGGAGGTGGAATATGGCAAGGTACGATGGGGGCGAGTGGGGGGAGGTTGGGATGAGTTGGGTGGGGTGGGGGCACAGTGGCTGAGAGATGGGGAGAGTGAGGGAGAGAGAATATGGCGGGGAAGCGAGTGAGAAGGGAGAAGGGAGAGGGGGTGAGTGGGGAGGTTAACCAGAGCACTGGGAAGTACTCATGTGTAACAAATCCCAACCCTCCCCTACCTCTACCTGTCTCCCCTTCCTTGCTCCCCCTCCCCCTTGTCCCTCCCTTCTCTCGACCTCCTTTCTTAGTCTATCATTCTTCTTCATCTGCTCCGTTCGTCATTGTGCTTCAGTTCCAACCACCCCTACCCCTTCCTTTTGAAAACCCTGTTCTCCACTCTCATCCCCTCCCTCCGTTCCCCTCCATCACCAACCCCTGTGGCCCCTCCGCTCTCCCAGCAATGGGTGCGCACGAGGGCCATATCAGACGCCAACCCCGTGGGGGGAGGACGCGCTGCTGCTGCGTTTTGTGTCCACCCAAAACTCAAAACTCAAAACCCGAAACCCAAACCCCAAACCAAAAACTCAAAACTCAAAACGCAAAACCCAAAACTCAAAACCCAAAACTCAAAGCTCAAAGTCCAAAAGTCAAAACTCAAAATTCAAAACTCAGAATTCGAAACTCAAAACTCAAAGCTCAAAGCTCAAAGCTCAAAACTCAAAGCTCAAAGCTCAAAACTCAAAGCTTCTCTCCACCAACCCCCATTGCTCCCTCTCCCAGCAAAGGGTGCGCACGAGGGCCATTCCAGACACCAACCCCGTGTGGGGGGACGCGCTGCAGCTGCGCGAGGTGGCGGGGGCGGCACCCCTGCTGCACGTGCGCTGCCTCGCCTTCTCCTCGCTCGCTCCCTGGTCGCCCATCTCCCTCGGCCACGCCTCTCTCTTCCTCCAGGTCCGTTCACGCATGCACGCTCACGTTGCTCCTGGTCTGGTCTGGGCTGGGCCTTTGCTGTGCGTCTCTGCACGTGTGCGCTTCTGTAGCATGCAAATGGGCGATCGAGTGCGATTGTGTTCACAAGTGTTGGCTGGCTTGTCTGTGTAACAACTTCACCCCTCCAATGGCTCCCTTTCTTCCCTGCTTTCTTTCAATTATCTCGTCCCTCCCATCCCTCCCATCCCTCGTCCCTCCCGTCCCTCCCATCCCTCATCCCTCCCGTCCCTCCTCATCCCATCCCTGCCGTCCCTCCCCTCTCCCCCCATGCCCAGCCGGCAGCGCTACAGGGCGATGCGGGGCTGTGGCTGCCCATGGGCGGGGTGGGGGGCTCAGGGGACGTGCACCTCATGCTGGCTCTCGAGCCACCGCACGCACAGGGGCTGGAGGCAGGCGCAGCAGCAGAAGCAGCAGTGGGAGGAGGAGGAGGGGGAGAGGGAATGGCAGTGGATGATGGGCCGGGAGTGGATGGCAGCACCAGTACTGGCAAGCGGCCAAGCAGTGTGCTCAGGGTTCGTCCCCTTCCCTTTCTCTCGCTCCACTCATTCTTGGGGGGTACGGTGTGTTGTAAACAGGCTCAACCCTTAACGTCCCTGTACAGCACTGAGCTCGAATACTCACCTAGAAATGATCCTATGTTCTGTACAGACCCACAGTCGCCAATTGGTGTTGACACCCGCCCAACCTAGTATATCACTTTCTGTGCAAGGACTGCACTGTGTGAGCACGTTTTTCCAGGTCCCTGCCCTGATAATATGATGAATCCCCTTTAACCTCCTCTCCCCCACCTCCCTCCCCACCAGGCCCTGTTGCGCAAGGACCGTGCGTGTCATCGCGACAGCTGCAGGTGACGGTGGTGGGCGCGTGCAGGGGTCTACTCCTGAAGCGCCTAAAAAACGCCAACTTCTATCCTCCATATTCGTCTCCTCCCCTCTCCCCTACACCCCCTGGCGCATCCCTCCCCTCCTCTTCTCCCATCAGGCCCTGTCACGCAAGGACCGTGCAGTGTCATCGCGGCGGCTGCAGGTGACAGTGGTGGGCGTGCGTGGACTGGCATCGCACCCTGCTGTTGTGGCCGCCAAGGGCAAGGCACCCGACACATATGCCACCGTGCGCTATGGCGCTACCAAGAGGCGCACCAAGGTGCGTGCATGCAGTGTGCACGCTGAATGAGGCGCGCCTTGGCGCATGTGGTGTGTTCAGGCTATGAGTGAAGTGTGAGCGCACCCCATTGTCGTGGCCGCCAAGGGCAAGGCACCCAACACATACGCCACCGTGTGCTATGGCACTACCAAGAGGCGCACCAAGGTGCGTGTCGTGCCGTGCAGAGCGTGAGTGAGGCGGCCTGTGAGTGAGTTCACTTGTATGGTGTGCGCTTTGAGTGAACGTCAATCCCACCAAGGTGTGTGCACGGCGTGAGGCGACTTGGGACTGGCCCTGTGAGTTGATTGACTAAACTCACTCGTGACTCGAATCAGCACCACCGACAGAGGCATGAAGGGGTGCATGCATGCATGGCGTGAGGGGCGAGTGGGAAGCTGGGTATCTCACGTAGCTGGCTGGAGGGCGGGGTGCAGAGCTGGAGTGGGTGGGACCGTCACTCTTCACCCGTCCTTTGCCTCGGGTGCCCAGCATTTTCCCCTCTCTCCTCCGCTGCATCTCCCCCTCTTTCTCCCCCTCTCCCCCCCACCAGGTGGTGCATCGCAGTCTAGCACCAGAGTGGCAAGCGCTCTTTGACCTGCCAGACACGGGAGAGGACCTCGAGGTCACAGTCAAGGAGCCCCACGGCCTTGCTCTCGCCCTCTCCACCACCCTCCCCCTCGGGTCGTGCCGTGTGGACTATAGCGGCTTGCGCCCGGGGTCCTCCCAGGAGTTGTGAGTTGCTTGTGCTGGTGTGGGCAGTGCGGCATGTGATGGTTTCTGTGTGTGTGTGTGTGCGTGCGCCCGTGCGCGTGCGGGCACGCCTGTGTGGTTGAGCTAGTATCTTGAAGCGCAATTCGAGAAGGGATAGATGAGTGGAGGAGAATGGAGAGATGGATAAGTTGCTTGCTCTTGTTTGTCCATTTCTTGTTCATCGTTTGTTACTCTCTGCTTTAGACGTAGCCGTTCCCTTTTCCTGTTTGAGAATCACTGTTTCCGAATCTCCACTCCCACTCTTGCACCTCAAGCCTCTTTGTTCTTGAGGAGATACCCTCTACTCATATTAACCCCGACGCCACGCCTTCCTCCAACCGATTCCCTCCCTCCCCACCCATGTCATGTCACCACGATGCAGTTGGCTCCCCCTAGCTGGTGCTGACCACCCAGACTGTCTGCTCGGTGTGACTGTTGCCATGCGCCATGCTGCTCCCACTATCACACCTGCCACGGCTGCTGCTGCTACCACTGCCGCTACCACTGCTGCTGCTGCTGCTGTTGTTGCGGGTGCTGCTGGGCCTTCTGCTGGGGCTTCATCTGTTGCTGCAGCGGAGGGTTTGGGAGCAGGAGTGGGGGCAGGAGGAGGGGTAGCGGCATCGGATGACCCAAGGGCACAACAAGTGGCGGCAGTGTGCGAGAGGGTGAGTGGCGGGTGTGGGCGAGGCGAGGGTGACTGGGGTGTGGGGTGTGTGATGTGTGGTGTGTTGTGTGTGGTGTGGGGTATGGGTTGTGGGATTTGTGGTGCGTGATATGTTTTCCCAGGATCTGCTGTAGTAATAAGTTTTCGCAGTGTGTTATGCCATGGCTGTCACTGTGCATGTTCTGCCATGGTGTGACAGCCAGTGTCCCACTCCTTCATCCCCCCCTTCCCCTCCCTTCCCTCCTCTCCTCTCCCCACGGCCAGCTTACCACTGCCATAGCGTCTCTCAAGGCCGCAACTTCTCAGCAGCCCTCAGAACCAGCTACAGCAGCAGCAGGCTCAGGAGCAGGTGCGGTGGGGGCAGCAGCGGCAGTGGAAGCAGTGGAGGCAGCAGCGCAGCAGCAGCATGCGGCACTGCAGCAGCTGCTGGCAGACCGGGACCTGCTGCTGAGCCGAGTGCAGGAGCTGGACCATGTGCTGGCTGCCGTGCTAGGGCCTGCTGCAGGCGCAGGGGGAGCGGGTGAAGGGGGTGCGGTGGAGTAGTGTGAGTGTGAGCGGACGCCTCGTGAGGCGAGTCAATGGATAGCAATCGCAGTCGCAGTCGCAGCCACAGTCCCTGTCGTGGGCGCAGTTTTACTTTCAGTAGCTGGGTGGGCACAGAAGGTGCTGGCAGACCGGGACCTGCTGCTGAGCCGAGTGCAGGAGCTGGAGTATGTGCTGGCTGCCGTGCGCAGGGGGAGCGACCAACTAGGGTGTGGCAGTGGGAGTGGTGGAATAGTATGTGGTAGGATATGGAGCCTGGTTTAGCTCTTTGAGTTGAGGTGAGCCAGGGCATTGAGAAAGCTTGCTTTCTTGTTTTTATCATTTGGCATCGTTCTCATTGCAAATGGCATATTACAACATATCCATCGAGTTCTAACACAAGCTAGTACATGCAGAGAATACTAGCTAAAATGTACCGTGTCCAAACGGCCTTAGTAGGCAGTCGATGCTGGGGTGGGTGGTGGGAAAGTTGAGTGAGCCGTTGGAAATAGAGAAACGTGGGTGGAGGGAAATGAGCTCCAACCCACGGTTTTTGTAGTTGGAGAAGGGCGTTTAGCGCGCTTCGACGATGCCAAATGTGCAGTACAAGCAGCTTCGCTTTCACAATACACAATTTTAAAAACACAATGTGTGTTTAAATTTTTTAATATTGAGAAAGCTTGCTTTCTTGTTTTTATCATTTGGCATCGTTCTCATTGCAAATGGGGCCTCTGAGACATGGGCAGCGGGGGTTTCCGGTTGCGTACGAGTGCCTCTGCGTGTTGCTCCGAGGACAATGCAAGTGTCGGGTTCTGCAGGATGCGCGATGCCTTGATGAGAGGTTCGACGTATGGCGTGACGTACATTTCCTTGGCTGTGTCACTTCGCCACCTGCCCAGTCTTTTGAAGATTCTGTCTGGTACACCGGTGTTGGCTGCCACTGTGGCCGCGCCTTTTCGGAAGGAATGAGTGCCGAGCTGCTGCTCTCCAAGCCCAACCTTTGCGAAGGCTTCCTTGCACCAGTTCCGGATCGTCGTGTATGAAGGTGGCCTGGCCTGGCCCACGCTGGTTGAGGCATGGCCGAAGACGCGGATCAACGACCCCTCCGAGTGCGGGCCGTAGCCAGCAAGTTGAATGAAGCGTCTGGTGCAGCGCACGGGGCAGCAAGGGTCCGCCGTTGCCGCAATGGGTATCCATGTTCCGTGACCGGCCTGATCCGTCTTGGAGTGTGGTATGAGGATCCACATGACATCGTCGTCGAATTGGATGTCTTGCCATTTGATAGCCACGAGGTCGGAGTATCGCAGAAATCCCGAGTACATGAGGATAGGGATCAGCCCTTTCTGGAATTCCGCCGGATTGTCAGACAGCAGGTAGCTCGCCGCCATGTCTCGAACTTGTTGGATCGATACGGGCTCCTTCAGACGAGTAGGGCGAGGGCAATGGCGTTTCGCAAAGTCGCGGACTTGTGTGGTGAATGGCCCATCCGTCGGGCATGTGCTCCCAGTCATGCGATGGGCGAAGCTGACTGCTGAGCACGTGAGCTGTAATACGGACAGGGTAGCTTTACGTTGGATTGCGTGGACCAGGTATAGCGCGAGGGTCATGTCGGATGCGGGGAGAAATGCAAGGTTCACCTTTGTACAAAAGGCTCGAAACTTAGTCCAGTATGGTTCGTATGTCCGGATCGTCGAGTTTGCACGAGACTGTGCGATCATGTTAATCAGCTGGTCGTGTAGCTTTGGGAGCAATTCTGAACACAAGGCGGAGAAGTTATGAATTAGTCAAATACCACTCGGAGTGCTATGATTGGGCTGTGCGGTAATCCTGAGCCTGAGAAGGCAGTGGAATGTGTCCCTGCAGCTAAGCATTGGCTTCCGTGTGTCAGAGGGATGTGTGCATGGATGTGTGACGCCCACGTGCATGGGGAGGGTTGTAGTAGTGGCCACCAGCTTGTGCCCGGCCAGTGCGGAACTATCAGTGTGAGTGATGCGTGGGTGCGTTGTGCGTGGTGGAGGACGGCGGGGACCAATTGGGGCGGGGGGAACGCGAAACCATTTTCGCCTGTCCATGCGAGCGAAAATGCATCAATTGCGAAGGCGTCTGGGTGAGGGATCTTTGTGCAGAAGCGCGATAGCTGGGTGTTGCGGGAGTTTGCAAAAAGGTCGATGGAATGGGGACCCCAACGACGTTCCAAGATGCGGAACCATGGCGTCTTCAACGAGTAGTCGTCGTGATCGACTATTTTGGAAAGCTCGTCAGCGTGTGAGTTGAGTTCGCGGGGAATCCATTCGATGATTAAGCGCGTGCCGAGCTCCATGCATGTTCGTATGATGCCCTTGCAGGCCATGGTGAGGTCGGGGCTGCGAGAGCCGCCTTTGCGAAGGATGAAGAATACACCTTGGTTGTCCACCCGCACGAGAACGTGTTTTTTCTGGATCTTGTTGGCATACGTTTGGATTGCCCAAAAGACGCCTTCAATCTCCCGTCTCGTGCTGGACGTTGCTCGTAGCGGCTCTGGCATGGTTGCACTAGCTTCTTCGAGGCCGCCCGGGAACGTGGTCAGGGTGGCGCCCCAACCGTGAGAGCTGGCGTCCACATGGATTACAGCGTCGTAACTGTTTCGGACGTGGAATGGTGCACCGTTAAACCGATCAAACTCTTCGCGCCAGAAGTTGAGCTCCTCAGCTACAGATGGGGAGACGATCACACTGCTTTTCCATGACGGCGCGTCGTTGATCACTTGTAACATGGCGTGGCTGAATGCGCGAGCTGTCGCGCCTAGTGCGACACTCATTGAGGCGAGCATGCCTGTGACTCTGGCCACATGACGGACGGGGACTGGTGTGCTTGCCTTGCTTGCACTTAGGAGGTTCTGGATGGTTGCATGTAGCGCGACTCGTCGGTCGGGACCGATGGAGAATCGGCCGGTGTCGGTGTCCAACTCTACACCCAAAAATCGAAGGTGCTGCGATGGTGAGAGCTGCGATTTCTTCGCGTTTATCACCAGCCCCGCTGCTTTGAGGTCCAATATTACGCGCTGACAGGTAGCTTGCGCATGGGCCTTTGACTGGCAGAGAAATAAAATGTCATCCACGTATGGCACTACTCGGATGCCCTGTTCTCGCCAACGCCGAGCAAGTTGCTTGATGAGTTGCGTGAAGACGAATGGAGCTGTGGCGAGTCCGAATGGCAGGGATCGAAATGCGTATGTGTGTCCACCAAATTCGAATCCAAGGAACTTCCAGCACGAGGGGTGGATGTCGATGTGGTGATAGCCGGATTTGAGGTCGATGGAGAACATCCAGTCCCCAGCGCGTGCCAGGTCGGCCACCCGGTTAAGTCCCTCGTACTTGAACTTGGGGACAATTAAGTGGGCGTTGACTTTCCTCAGATCAAGAATGAGCCTGCATTTGTCTTTTTGCTCGACCACGTTGAGCGGACTTATGCAAGTAAGCTCCTTTGCGGCCATCGGAACTGCCGCTCCGGTCTCTGTGAGTTCTTGTACGGCAGTACGTGTGAATGTGGCATGCGTGTTCGCCCCGACATGGTTGCGATCGTGGAAGGGTTGCGGTGGGCCGTGGCTCCATGGCAACCAATAGCCTTTGGCTATGACGGAGAGGACAAGGCTACTCGAGCACCATGAGCTCCACCATGCAAAGGTCGCGCGAAGCCGGCCGCGCATATGTGTAACGGTTTTGTCCGTTATGGCAAATTCGTATGGGTCGTCGCCGCATGCCGCCTCGTATTGCCACGCTCCTGTGTGTTCGTGGCATGGGACAAGGGTTGCACTTTTTATTTAAAAATACGTGTGTTGCATGTGTGCACGTGCTTGAGATCACTTGTAAACGGTGTGGACAGAATTGATAATGAATTGCTATGTCAACGAGTGTGCCGATCACCGACCGGCTCGCCCCACGGTCCATACACGATTGGATGCGGCTGTCCATGCCCTCTCTCTCTCTCTCTCTCTCTCTCTCTCTCTCTCTCTCTCTCTCTCTCTCTCTCTCTCTCTCTCTCTCTCTCTCTCTCTCTCTCTTTCTTTCTCTCTAATTCTCTTTCTCTCTTGCTCTGCACCACTTCTTTGTTTCTTAGAGTGTCACTTGCCAAAATCAGAGGGCCTTTAGGAATAATGTTTTATTAAATCGACCCGACACACATAGCAATGCTTTCCTAGCATGCATACGCCACCTAGTGGCCAATACATGGGACCGAGGGGTTGATGTTCCCCTTCCCTAACCTAGGCCCAAGGCCTACTCTACCCTTGTCTAGGGCTGGCCTCTTGCCATCGCAAACCCCTAGGGCTGCCCACGGTTTCCGCACTCTAGAGTGCACCGTGCCTTGCGCTCCGAGCGCATTTCCCATGGTCCGCTCCTACACTACCGGAGCGGGACCTTGGCCACCATGCCCGTTCCTAGGGCAGGTACTTGCCACATGGCCCGGCTGGCCGCAGCGGAAGCACGAGCCCCGAAACCCACGACAATTGGCCGTGGGTGGGGGACCCCGCTTGGGAATGAACGGCATCGGCGCGTTGCTTCCGCCGCGGTTGACGCGAGCGTATGCGCTTGCGGCGCGGTCCATCGCAGCCATGTCCGCGACCGCCTGCTTGAAGGGTCGAGAGGTCAGCAGGCTCTTCTGCTGGTACAGCTTGAAGCGCTTCGCCGTGCAGAAGTCGGAGGCGTCCTCCACTTGAAGCACCTCGAAACGCCCCGCGATGAGGTTGAGGGCGTGTGAGATGAGTTCGAGTCCGCCTGCCGAGTCGCCGCGCTGCGCCTTGTATTCCGCGTGCAGCAGGTACGCGCGCAAGTCCTCCAGCAGCTCCGCTTGCTCTCGCACGGAGTCGTTGACGAATGTCGTCGCCGAAAAAGTGAGGTTAGAAGAAGGGAGGGGGGGGAGATTTTCCGTGCCAATAAAATTAGTATTGTCGACTGGAGCCTCACCGGCGTCATCTTCGGAGTCGTCGGTGTCGTTGTCGACCGCTGGAGCAGGGGGAACGCCGGTCGCTGCGTCGTTGTTGCGCC